TAACTAATCGAATATCAATGAGATAATACTTTTTTAAAGGCTATTTGTGATATTACCAATCATAACTAACTGTCAAGTTGCTTATCTAGACTAAATTTATTTCTCTTATCTTAAGAAAGTTATGAATGTTTATTATTGAAATAATTTTCTTTTCTCTATGCTTTCTAATAAGAAATCCATAGATAAGAGATGTTATAACTATTGAAAAAGATTCAAAAGTACCTTAAAGATAGAGAGAATAGTTTGATTGCTACAATATCGGATAATGATAGATTACTACTTTTGTTCTTTCTTGATTCGTTCCTATGATTTTTCACTATATTTGTCACTTTATGCAAATCATTTAACCTATTAAAGACCCTTCTTTATGGTCGTACTTATTTTCTTCCTGTTGTTCCTACCTTTTTTTTCCTTTTCTTTTTCGTTTTTTGCTCTTCCCTTTCTATTTCGTCTTTTTTTTCTAATCATAACAAGTATAAAAGAGGTGTATTAATAGACTTTGGAGATTCGTCTGTCTAATAGCTCAATTTTTTTCCTGATTTCAATTAGAAAAAAATCAACCATTTATAGACACACTGCAAGTTACTTGAGTCGTTTTGTTATGGATAGGGGTGTCGTCTTAGCATTAGTGTTAAGAAAACGCTAATACCCATGTATTAAAGTTAAATAACTCAGTTAATACTTTTGCATTAGTCTTAACAAAATAACTTAATGCTTTGGTATTAGTGTTAACTTTGTATTAAGAAAATGCTAATACCTATCATGATCATGCAATTAGCTGATGGATCTATCATTGTAGTTTTACCACTAGCTTCTCTATAGTTGAATTTTCTTTATAACATTTCTATACAGAGAAAATGTTATGTATGCACTAGGATGACATACATGTACATTTATAGTTCTTCAGAAAACATAAATAATTTTATCAAATATCGATATTGTAAAAGGAAAACTCAATCTATGCGTCATTTAGCGAGAATGAATCGTATATTACTTGACTTTTCATATGTTAGATGTGAAAATGACTGAATATTTTTCAATGAAACAAGCAGAAAATCTCTTTTTTCATTATCATGATTATTATTCTGTAAATGTTTATTTAGTATGTGCTGCTTCTAAGCTTCTCCACAGTTATAGAGCACAAAAATTCATTTCAGTAGGATCACTTCATGTATCACTTCAATAAAATGTAATTATCTGAATTAAGCCCTGTAGATTTGATTATCAATATAAATGAAAACACGGTGAATCTGTTGAACATTAGTTGATTACATCTCTGTCTATGATGGCATTTGAAAAAGCCATTATGTACTGAATATCTACTTAGGTCATCAGATTACACTTAATAAAATGGAGAAGAAAAAAATATATTATACACATTTTCTGTTTGATATTTTTTTATATTATTTTGATGCAGAAAGAGAAAGCAAAAGAAGAGAAAAGAAAAGACTATGTGTCACTCGTTCGACAACTTATCATAAATCAAACTAGAGAGAACGACTAATAGTGTTATGCTTTGTTAATGTTATTTCTTTTTAATAGTTTCGCTGGTTTAGTTCGTCTGTTGTAAAGAACGAAGTAACTGTTAAACAAGTGCTTTATTTCATAGTCATCATTATTCACATAAAAACTTCACGTAGAATATCTTAGGCCATGATTCGAGTATTTCCTGAAAGAATTCGCTCCGAAAAACTTTCCAAAATAGTCCAACAACTTTCCAAGTAGAGCTCGACGAGCTCTATCCAACCATACCATTCATGTTTTTAGCTCCCCTCCCTCCCCTCCTCAAACCGAGAAAATCTCCAAATACTATCAAAAAACCGTGTAAAATGCAAACAGTTCACGAAAAACTTGTCGTGATTCGTCCAGGAATATTTTCCAACTTAAGTATTGAGTTTCCTAGTAGATCTTGACGCGCTCTATCGAATGTACATCTTTGATGTTCAATTCCATGCTCTTTTCGCCCTCAAAACCTCCAATCCGTAGCAGAAACCTGGTTTTTTAAACAATACTTGTCGCGATTCGCTCAGACGCATTTTCCAGCAAAATGCTTCAACTTTCAAAGTAGATCTCAACGAGCTCTATCGAATGGACATCTTTGAAGCTCAGTTCGACAAACCTTTCCCTTGAAAACCGGTCAATCACAGGTCCCATCCCTAGATTTCTTCTAAGACCTGTAGAGATTCGCCCAGGAGGGCTTTCCAACTCAGACATATAACTTTCCAAATGGATTTCAACGAGATCTATTGAATGGACACCATTGGAGCTTGATTCGATACTCTCCTTCGCAGAGAAACGTCTAATCCAGGACCCAATTGTTCATTTTTTCAATAAAACTTGAAGTGATTCGTCTACAAGTACTTTCCAAGTACATCTCGACGAGATCTATCGAATGGATACCTTTCAAACTGGATTCGATGCTTCCCTTTCCAGAAAAACGCCTAATGCGGGGCCCAACTCTTCGGTGTTTCAATAAAACCCAAACCAATTCGTCCAGGAGTATTTTCCAACTGAGATATATAACTTTCGAAGTATATCTCAATGGGATCCATTGAATGAACAGTCTTAGAACTTGATTCGATGCTTTCCTTCCCAGAAAAACGCCTGATCCGGAGCCCAACTCTTCAGTTTTGCAATAAAACCCGAAACGATTCGTCTAGGAGTACTTTTCAACTGACGAGGGAACATATTCAACTGTCAAATCGTTTTCGGACCGGGCATATGCGCAAACGATTGACCTCATTGAGTTATTAAATGCCCTAGAATGATTTGGTTTTCCAGCCTTCTGTTGTCGATTTATCGGCCTTTTACTTGATTTTGGCTTATGTGCATAAGATTCTTCTGAGTACTTGAATGATCGAACTTCACACTGAAATTTTGTCTATAGATAGGCGTTATAAACACTAGAAACCGCCCAAAGTTTGAGCCAGAATGAATATAGCCTTATCGAGGTACTCACATTTTAAAGAAACGCCTGTTTTGAGCTGTGTTCCAAAACAGAGACATTTTCATGACAAGCTGATATTTCGATAAGGATCCGTTCGTGCTGGCTCAAACTTTGGAAAGTTTCTAGTGCTTATAAGGCCTATCTATGGGCAAAATTTCAGTTTGAAATTCGATCATTCAGGTACCCAGAAGAATGTTATGCACATAAGCCAAGATCAAGTAAATGGCCCATAAATCGACAACAGAAGGCTGAAAAACCAAACCATTCTAGGACATTTAATAACTCATTGAGGTCTATCGTTTGCGCACATGCCCGGTTCAAAAGCGATTTGACAGTTAAATATGTTCCCTCATGAGATATATAACTTTCCAAGTACAGGGTGGCGCAAAAGTCACTTTACCCAAAAAAATTAAATATCTCCATTACGGTTCGAGCAAACGAGCTGATTCTTTTATCAATGATAGAGGCATGTTTAAGCTGTATATCCATTAAGACATGCCTAGAGAAACCCTTTGTTAAGTATATTGTTTTCTATTCTATCTGTGAAAAAATTAAAATTATTTTGTTGAGGTCATTAGTGGTACTTTATAAATGCTCTCTCTAATCTTGTCCGTATGGATTTAAAGTGTGAACATGCTTCTATTATTGGTAAAAAAATCAGTCCGTTTGCTCGAGCCGTAGCGGAGATATTTAGTTTTTTCTTGCTATCGTCACTTTTGGGCCATATACAGGGTTGCCCCAAAGTCAGTTTACCAAAATAAAAATTGAATATATCCATTACGGCTCGATCAAACAAGTTGATTTTTTTACCAATCATAGAGGCATATTCAAGCTTCATATCCATAAAGACATGCCTAGAGAGACTCTTTGTTAAGTATCACTATTGATCTCAACAACAAAAAGTTTTACTTTTTGACAGATAGGAGAAAAAAACAATATACTTAACAAAGGGTTCCTCTAGGCATGTCTTTATGGATACAAACTTGGTACATGCCTCTATCACTGATAAAAAAATCAGCTCGTTTGCTCGAACCGTAATGGAGATATTCAATTTTTTTTGGGTAAAGTGACTTTTGCGCCACCCTGTACATCTCAACGGGATCTATCGAATGGACAGCCTTAGAACTTGATTCGATGCTTCCGTTCTAAATAACGCATAGATTGAATTTTCCTTTTACAATATCGATATTTGATAAAATTATTTATGTTTTATGAAGAACTATAAATATACATGTCTGTCATCCTGATGCATACATAACATTTTCTCTGTATAGAAATGTTATAAAGAAAATTCAACTATAGAGAAGCCAGTGGTAAAACTACAATGATAGATCCATAAACTAATTGCATGATCATGATAGGTATTAGCATTTTCTTAATACAAAGTTAACACTAATACCAAAGCATTAAGTTATTTTTTTAAGACTAATGGAAAAGTATTAACTGAGTTATTTAACTTTAATACAAAAGTATTAAAAATAGTATTAATTAATGCAATACTAATGCTAAGACGACACCCCTAGTTATGGACATCATATGTACATAGGATTATAAAAACCTACATATTCCTTTTATAGTAATGTTTTTAAATAGAAACAAATATTAGACAACAAAAATATAAGTGTACAGTTTAAAATTAAATCTTATTATTATATTTAATATATTATCTTTAGAATGGGAAAGACTTTGAAATTTTTTCAATTATTAATAAATTTTCACACGAATATATATTAAAAAAATTTTGTTTATACACATTGAAGAATACGACATTTATTTTTTAAAAATAAGTCAAAAGTCAAACTTTGACGAAATTTGTTTCATGTGTTGATAAGTTTACAACATAATGATGATAATCAATTCAAATGTAATAATTTTGTTATTTTTGTCTTTCTATTGGTTTAAACGTATACAAGAAGAAGGTGAACATTTTATAGAAAAGTCATATAATATACATTCTTGAAATATGTTCTTCGTAGTTAATAGAATCGAAACTTAGAATAATTGAATAAATCCTCAAGTCATCCATGGATAATGTAGTATCTGTTCATTGTCCTTACACCGTCCTTGTTGTTGTAGTTGTTATCCTGCTTGTTGTAGTAGTTGTTGTCGTTACTGTTGTTGTCCCGTTTGGGATAGTTGTTGTTGTCGTACTTATCGTAATTGTTGTAGTTGTTGTTATCATTAATGTCGTAGTTACACTAATATTCATTGATTTCACACTAGTCGATGTGATTAAAGTTAAACTTTGACTATCATTATGTAATCCAATACCTAAGCCTAATCCTAATGCTAAACCTACGACAACTAAAGCCATACTGACGCCGACAATTATTACCTATGGTAATGGTTGCCAAAGATTCCGTCGTTTTGCCACAATACTATGGTGGTGCTGCATTATGATTGGAAGTACACAGATGATCACGTGTAGTTATAGGCTTCGACTCATTTATATTTCGTATGTTTTATCTTACTTTATATGCATCGTACGTCACGATTTTTTTCAATCTACACCGAATACCTTTTACATGCTTTGCCTATTTGATATTTATTCTTTTTCTTTGATGTTTTTTTTCTTCTAAATAATTATCAATCACTAAGACATAATCGAAAAAACATTAAATTCATTCATCTTATTAAGAGAAATCAAAAATTTTTTGAATCGTCTTATGTCAATGATATTAACATGATCAATCAAAATATTTTTGACTCTATTACAAACTATATTTATCTAGAGTCACAAAAATATACAATCATTATACTAAATTATATGCATCATCAAGGTATAGTCATACATGATTTAATAGAGTTGTTTACGAACGTGTACAAACTGCATTATAATTATTGTGGGCATACATCATAATCATAGTTTCATTTCCAAAACATCAAATGATGTAAATAAAGTACAAGGCGTCCCAAAAGTTATGATCACTTAAGTTTTTCGTTTATCTTTACTATTTGATTTAATTTCATCAACTTATTTTTTTTTAAATGATAGATGGATGCATCGAATTTTTTTTTATACGAACAAATTTCATAAGTATTCTTCTAAGATATCGTCTTTCAGCGAAATATCAAAAATTAGACTTCTATTTCCAAAAATATAACGGGTGTGACAAGTTGAATGGCCGTACATTGTATTTCAACTTTCATTCACTTAATACATTGTATTGAAAAAATAAAATCTACCAGAAGATAGAGCGTGAAAAGCTCTACAATTCATAAAGAACAGTTTATTTTATATGTGAAATAAGACAAAAAAGGAATTTCGCTAGTGTAAAAAAAAAATGACATTTTTGTAACGGCGAACATTGTTCCTACGGTATTTTGGACACAAAACGTATATATATAAAATAAGCTGTTCTTTGTAAATTGTAGAGCTTTTCGCGCTCCATCTTGTGGTATATTTTGTTTTTTTCTTAAATAAAGCATATCGGTTGATGAACAGACGAAATAACAAAAAACGAATTCATCTGGCACCAAAAAAAACATATTTTTCACACAGTCTAAATTTGATCGCTCAAAATTTTGTCCATTTGGAAAACAAAAACTACAGATATAAAATAAACAGTCTTATGTAAACAGTAGAGCTTTTCAA